ACAAGAAGACAACACAACTTTTAGCCATGACCTATTCCACTTGATTTGGATTGCTGTTGTGTCTTGTGTCTGATGAAATGTCGCCCAGTTTCTTAACGGTTTGGTGGGTGAGATTTGCAAATGGCATTAGTTCTGCTGTCTACATGAGTGTATGTATGTCTATGTCTGGTTGCAAGTAAATCTGAAGGATTGGATATTCTTTTATGACAAGGGCGTCAAATTGTTACCACCGAAAAAATTTTATGATTCCTTTTATATTCAACGATAACAACAACAACAGCAGCAGCAACAGCAACAGCATTACAAACCAAAAACTACAACGTTGACAACGACATTGTAAAAGACCTCGACGAGGACGACGACGACAAGCAAATAACTCAAACCTTGTGATTTCATGATTTATGACTGAAGTTTGAACGAAACAAAATTCGGAAGGGGTTGCAGAGAGAGAGGGAGAGAGAGAGAGAACCGTAAGCCCTAACTAATGAAAGTAGAAGTTTTATGGTCGATTCGTTTATATTGTGGCGAACATGCTTCTTGAGACCATGTTTCATGACTGCATGGTGCTGCCACCAATATTTTGTTCCTTACAAAACTACAAAAGAAACAAAATATATCTTTAGTGGCTTTCACCCTGCAACAAAAAATGTCATACTTTGTGGTTTTTATGAATACTTCACAGCCATTAAAGGAATTTTTGTAGTTTCTTTACTTTTTCTGTGGTGAGAGTGGTCGAACAACGAAGAAATGCTGTTATATTCTCTATCCCCAAACAACGGGAATTTCTAGGGTCTCATACATCTTCGGCGTCGGATGCATGTTTTTGTTTTATAGCCCTGAATTCTGTGTGTCGGGAATTTATGTACCATTGATTGTAAAAATTTTTATGGAATAGTTAGTAAATATTCTCCAACCCCCTCTCCATTTAACTATCATTATCGCTAATGTAATGTGGGCAACAAAAAAATATATTTAAAGTCATTACACTAATTGACATTGTGTACACCAACACTCTGAGTCAGCTTACTTAAGCTGATTAGCAGGTGTCGTTAAAATCGTCAAGACGAAATAAATTCTAGGACAAAACGTAACGAACTCAAAATGTATTAAAATCCAATAAAAAGGATAATGTGTTCGGGTTACCCGAACTTTAGGAAAATAATCAAAATATCTAAAATTAATGGGGGTTTCCTAGAAGAAAACTCTTGTTATGATAGGACCTTAAACATATTTTTCGGTATGTGAGAAAAAGTTAAATGAAATTCTCGACCGTTATGTGGGACTATAATAAACCGGAGATCAATAATAATATTTTTATAACCTTCACCACACTGTGGTGCAGGGTATTATGTCTTGTGTCCGTCTGTTGATAATTTATAATCCGATTTAGATGAAGCTTGGTGCAGTTCATATGTTTGGCCAAAGGACGAACCCTATTGATATTGGAAAAAATCGGTTCAGATTTAGATATAGATTCCATATATATATTTTCTACCGAATTTGTTTAAATGGTGCCCCAAAGGCCCGTGCATATCTTTCGATTTGCACGAAATTTCAGAACGTTATCCCAAATTTCGTGCAAATCGACTTGGGACTTCGGTGCACCATTTACATAAAATCGGACGAAAATATACATATGAGGTATATCTAAATCTGAACCGATTTTCACCAATTTGAATAGGGTTCATCCCTAGGCCAAACAAATCAACTGCATCAAATTTCATTCAAATGGGATTATAAATGCTACCTGCACTTTGTTTACAATTTAACACCAACAGACGGACGGACGGATGTATAAATCGACTCAGAAAGTGATTCTATGCATATTCTCAAAAGGAACTATGAGTCTATCTCGTTTCCTTTTGCCTGTAACAAACATCTGCCCTGTGCCACAAAATCCCCAAAATACCGAATACTGGGGGCTACCCTGAAACTTGGTTCAATATTAATAATTTTTGGTATGGCTATGTGTTATTCAATGAGAACCCAAACTGGCAAATTACAGCCAATTCCGTTGGAAAAGGTGAGCAAAATACCGAATATTGGGGGTACCGTTATATGGGGGCTACCCTGAAACTTGGGTCAATATTAATAATTTTTGCCACGGAGACGTGTTATTCAATGAGAACCCAAAATGCCAAATTACATCCATTAATATTAATAGTTTTTGGCACGGATTTGTGCTGTTCGAGGAGAACCCAAAACGTTGGAAAACGTGTACCGTTGTATGGAGACTTCACTAAAACGTAGATCGATATATCGCATTTGCTATACAAAAAATCGTATGAGTACTAGCACGCAACATTATTAGCGAATGTGCGAATTATCTAAAAACTAATACCGACCATAATTAAAATTTTAGTATGTTCTCTTATATGGTATGTATTTCCAAAAATATCTCCTTATCTCAACTCTACACACAAATTCTGAACGCAACAGAAATCTATCTCTATTCTAAATTTGGTGTCATTTATAACACTTTGTACTTTTGTAATACTTATTTCGAAAAAATCGCAAATTTCAAATATAGGTTCACCCAAATTCAAATTTAATACCAGTTAATACACATTAATATAAATTTCCATAACTACCTATTTTATCAATCATAAGTACGAATTTCCAAAACACCACAATCTTAAATCTAAAACTCATGATTCCAGTTCTATCGGTTCGCCTAAATTCAAATTATATCAAATTTAGTACCGTTTAGTACACATACGTACAAATTTACATTACAACCTACATCATGCAATCCAAAGAAATCTTATTACCCTGCTCGGGATTCCTGCTCGGTCGGTGCCTCTAAAACCAAATTGTATCAAATTTAGTGCCAAACTTCCTACATACCCCAAGCCAACGCCCTACAGCGATCCTAACTCCAAATGTCAAGATTCCAGCTTTATCGGTTGACTTAAATCCAAATTTGCAACCATTTAGTCAAAATTTGTACGAATTTCCAAAAAGTTCTACATAGTCCTATCCTACCCCCCAACAGTAATCCTAATCTCAAAATTCAAGATTCCCACTCCATCGTATCAATCGAGGCAAAACTTGGTACTATTTTGTATAAATATACAAAACTTCCTACATGCCCAACAATGATCCTAACTGCAAATTTCAGGATTACAAAAATTCAAATTGTTCCAAATTTTGTACAATTTAATACCCATAAGTATGAATATCGAAAATTACATCCATACCCAAATGCTACATTCCAACAGCAACCTTATTTCTAAATTTCAGTGTTCCAGTACTATCGGTTCACTAAAATCCACATATGGTACCATTTTGTACACATTAGTACAAATTTCCAAAACTTTATAAATACTCTAATCTTACACCCCAACAGTGACCTTAACTCCAAATTTCAGTTCTATTGGTTCACCCAAAATTTAAATTGTACCAGATTTAGTACACGTTAGTATGAATTTCCAAAACCTTTCACAAAGCCCAATGCTACACCCTAGCAGTGTCCTAACTTGAAATTTTAAGATTACAGCTCAAATTTTTAAAACTTTACACATCCTTCTAGGCTTAATTCAGTACGTTATGCCAAATTTCTTGCAAATCGAAGCATATATAGGGACTTTAGTGCACAATTTACCTTAAAACGGACGAAAATATATATATGGGAGCTATATTTAAATCTGAACCGATTTTTCTCAATTTCAATAGGGTTCGTTCTTGAGCCAAATAAATGAGCTGTGCCAAATTTCATCCAATTCGAATCAAAAATGCGACCTGTACCTTCTTTACAATTTAACATGGACAGACGGACGGACGGACATGCATAAGTCGACTTAAAAAGTGATTCTATGCATATTCTCAAAAGGAACCATGTGTATATCTCGTTTCCTTTTGCCTGTTACAAACATATGCTCAAAGATACCATGATATCCTGTACGACAGTGTGGTGAAGGGTATAACTAGCCCGATTCGTCCATCCATATTCAAATTTGGTAATATATAGTGGACATTGGTACGAATTTCCAAAATTTCCTATATACACCAAATCCACACCTCAACAATGATCCTATCTCCAAATTTTAGTATCCCAGCTCTATCAGTTCACCCTAATCCAGATTGTACCAATTATAGTATGATTTAGTACTTTACGTACACAAAAGTAAAATATTTCCAAAACTACATACATATCCCAATCCTACACTCCGACGGTAATGTTAATTTAAATTTCAGAATTCCAGCTCCATTTGTACCTCCAAATTAAATTTGTATTAAATGTAGTACTTTTCGTACACATGAGTACACGCTTTCAACCCCATCTCTTTATATCGATCCTATTTCTCAACCCTAATTTGCATTCCAAACTTCAAGTTCTTAGCTATATTTATTCATATGCTACCAAATTGTACTAAATTTAGTACATGTTCGTACTTTTCGCATATTTATAGTTCGAATGTCCAAAAAACTCTTTGCTATACCTATTACACACTCCATCAGTAACTATCATTTAAAATTCAATGGTACCACATTTAGTACTTTTCGTACCGTTCTAGTACGAATTTCCTAAAACCCAGCCTTATCTGTGGCCCTCACCCAAAATTTCAAGATTCTATCTTCAGCCGAAATATTCAGAAATATTCTTTTTAATCTCCGCCATTAAAGCCTCGTTAGAAATCCAGGAATAAAGATGTGAATTTTTTATTAAAAAATTTGGATGGAATTTTATGGAAAATTCTTATTATCAAAAAACGTTTAGAATTATAATTTTTAATCTATTATTCTTGTTTGTTATATGAAACTGATTTTCCTTAAATCCTTTTCTTATGTATTGTACTAAATAAAACTCAATAAGATATGTATTTTGTAAGGGGTGCATTTTTTTATTTTATTTAGTTTGAAATTGTGCCATTGTTTTTTTTTAATTTTTATTTTTTTTATCGAATTTTCGCTTATCAAATATTTGTATCTATATAACATATAATCGCTTTATATATTTAGTAATACTGTTGCTCGTTTAGCTGCAATTTTATTATTTTTTAGAAACATCCAAAATGTGGCATACGACCAGGGAAAGTGGGGCAACCACCAACAAATCCTTGATGACACTTCATCCATGGATGCCTGAACATCATATTACGTTGTTGCAACATAAACGGGTTGCCACCAAGTCCAAACATTTTCGGACATGGCCAGTTCCTCATAATCCGATGATTGGCAAAACGACCAAACATCATAGCCATTTGGGGACAGTGGGGTGTGCGCTGGTGTTTGGGTGACTCATCTTCGCTACTGCTCGAACTTGAACTAGACGAGGACATTTTCTTGTGATATTTTTTACCTTTGCCATGGAATTTCGTTGTATATTCTTCGTCACTACTGCTGCTGCTACTCGAACTGGAGCTGGAACTTGACGAAGACGCTGCCTTATAGTGCACATACGCGTTTCTTCTACATCCGGGTTTATTATTGCCTTGATGCATATAATGGCCTTGGCAGTGCTTCTTCAATTCGCATTGACGTCCGCGAGAGTGAGAACGGGAACGAGATCGGCTCATATGACGCTTGGGATGATTCTTCTTCATTTCACATTGACGTCCGCGAGAGTGAGAACGGGAACGAGAGCGGCTCACATGACGCTTATGATGGCCATGGTGGTTCTTCTTCATTTCACATTGACGTCCGCGAGAGTGAGAGCGGGAACGAGAGCGGCTTACATGACGCTTATGATGACCATGATGCTTCTTTTTAATTTCACATTGACGTCCGCGAGAATGAGAACGGGAACGAGAGCGACTCACATGGCGCTTATGATGACCATGATGCTTCTTTTTCAATTCACATTGACGTCCGCGAGAGTGAGAACGGGAACGAGAGCGGCTCACATGACGCTTATGATGACCATGATGCTTCTTCATCATTTCACATTGGCGTCCGCGAGAGTGAGAACGGGAACGAGAGCGGCTCACATGACGCTTATGATGGCCATGGTGGTTCTTCTTCATTTCACATTGACGTCCGCGAGAATGAGAACGGGAACGACAGCGACTCATTCGGCGCTTATGATGGTTCTTCTTCATTTCACATTGACGTCCGCGAGAGTGAGAACGGGAACGAGAGCGGCTCACATGACCCTTATGATGGCCATGATGTTTCTTCATCATTTCAAATTGACGCCCATGAGAGTGATGTCCATGATGTTTCTTCATCATTTCACATTGACGTCCACGAGAGTGGGAACGGGAACGAGAACGGCTCACATGACGCTTATGATGGCCATGGTGATTCTTCTTCATTTCACATTGACGTCCACGAGAGTGGGAACGAGAACGGCTAACGTGCTTCTCATTACTGCCACGGTGTTTCTTCACCTCTCCCAGTCGTTTATGACACTTTGCAATATCTACCATACCACAGCAGTTAGAACGGGACATTGCGGGACAACCAAATGGAGGATATCCCCACATTCCACAGAATGGTAACATATGATGTGGACGGTGACCATGATGTTTAGATTTCTTTTTGTTATCCCGTTCCACTTCACTTTCACTAGAACTTGAGCTACTAGAACTAGAGCTGGAACTAGATTTCGTTTTTTGATGTTTCGATTTCTGTTTTTGATGTTTCGATTTCCTTTTTTTGTCCAGTTCCACTTCACTTTCACTAGAACTTGAGCAACTAGAACTGGAACTAGATTTATTTTTATAATGTTTCGATTTCTTTTTGCTGTCCCCTTCCACTTCACTAGAACTGGAGCTACTAGAACTAGAGCTGGAACTAGATTTCGTTTTATGATGTTTCGATTTCTTTTTTTGATGTTTCGATTTCAATTCCAGTTCCTCTTCACTTTCACTAGAACTGGAGCTACTAGAACTAGAGCTGGAACTTGAATTACTTTTATGATGTTTCGATTTCTTTTTTTGATGTTTCGATTTGTTTTTCTTGTCCAGTTCCACTTCACTTTCACTAGAACTTAAGCTACTAGAACTAGAGCTGGAACTAGATTTCGTTTTATGATGTTTCGATTTCTTTTTCTTGTCATTTTCTTCTACTTCACTTTCACTGGAGCTAGAACTAGAACTAGTGCCGCTACTAGTACCACTGCTAGTTCCACTACTTGTTCCCGACGACGTTGATGATCGTGAACGATGACGACGTTTATGTTTCTTAGCACCTTTTCCATGTTCATTCTCAGCGTCTTTCTTCCCGTTGTTACACATTTCATCGGCCACACTTAGTATAACTCTCTCCAAGGTTTTTTGGGCCTTGCAGGATTTCATGAGGGCTTTGATGGCTTTCTTGTAATGTTTTTTGGTAATTGTCGAGGCCTCAGGCATAGTAGTATCTGCCTCCTGGTTGTCCTCCAGAACCTCCTGATCACAATTTGGACATTCCATTATAACAGGTTGTTCGTCGTCCATAAGTGGAAGGCCGTCGTGTTCGATTTCGGACATGTCCTTCAAAATATAATTTATGCTTGGTTTTAAATCGTTCAAATAATTTTTATTGTAAAATAATTTTTTATTTTGCGTTTTGCAATTATTTGTTGTGAAATAGTATTTATTTGTTTTGTAGTTCGACTCTGCTCTGCACTTTGCGGTTCGATGGCTGGCTCCACTTGACTGCTAGCATTTGTATGCCGGCATTTGCCTTTTATATTATTTCAGTCGATCATTAACCGGTCGCTTGGGGTATTTTAATTTTCGTTGCGGGATCAAAAACTCATGAAATTCGTATCTAGAAAAATCGTTTGTTTCCCCTTGCCCATGATTTATGTTTGTTTGGGTGGGTTAGGAGAGGTAGTAAAACGTTGATAAACGTTTGCTTACAGTGCGTATATTACTCATCCTTACTCATTACTATCTCTCAGTCACATACTCTGACTCTCTCGCTTACTGATTTTCCAAAACAATTTTCATTGCCGAAGAGACGTGCGACATATCGAAACAACCAATACCCCCCAGTCACCTCATTACTGATAACAATTAAATTGATATAATTATTGTTGTTGTTGTTGACTCTTATGACAACAAATTAACACCCTTGGCTTGTGTATTTAATTATTGAATACATTTTTGCACTTATTTCAATGACCTGGTCGTTTTATGGAGTAGGATCAGCGTAAAATTCTAAGACGATCTAAGCATGTCCGTCTATCCGTCCGTCTGTTGTAATCACTCTAGCGTCTAAATGAATTGAGATAGATCGCCAAAATTTTGCACAGAGTCGTCTTTTGTCTGCAGGCAGGTCAAGTTCGAAGATGGGATATATCGGTCCACGTTTAGCCATAGCTCCCATATAAGGGTACCCCAAATTTTCGGTATTTTGGGGTTCTTGAGCGCGTTTTTCAACCGAATTCGCTGAAATTTGCTACATTGGGTGCGTATTGGGTACTAAATGTCTCCACAAAAAATTATAAAAATAGGTCCATATTTTGGGATAGCCCCCATATAAGAGTACCCCCAATTTTGCGGTATTTTGGGGGTTTGATCGCATTTTTCGACCGAATTCTCTGAAATTAGGTACTTTTAGTTCTTATTGGGTAGCAAATATCTATATTAAAAATTATAAATATAGGTCAATTTTTTCATATAAAGGTAACCCCCAATTTTCGGTTTTTTAGAGTTCTTGAGCGGGGGTTTCAGCCGAATTCGCTGAAATCTGGTAAATTGGGTTCTAATTGGGTACCAAATGTTCCCACTAAAAGTTATGAATAAAGGTCCACTTTTTCTGGTAGCCCCCATATAAAGGTACCTCCCATTTTCCAGTTTTTGAGGGGTTTTGACCGGCTTTTTTCCACCGAATCGGCTGTAATTTAGTATTTTGAGTTCTTATTGGTTAGCAAATCTCTCCACAAAAAATTATAAATATAGGTCAATTTTTTCGGGAATCCCCATGTAAGGGTACACGCAATTTTCGATATTTTGTGGTTCTTGAGCGCGTTTTTCACCGAATTCGCTGAAATTTGGTATTTTGTAGTCGTATATGGTAACAAATCTCACCTCCAAAAATTATTAATATTCACCCCTTTTTAGGGGTAGTCCCCATATAACCCCCTTTCTTATATTAAAATAGTTATCTGATTTGTTCCGTGTGTTGTGGTTGGGTAGTCGTTACGGGAAATAGTCAATTTTTACCCTACAAAGACTATTTAGCCATCTGTTGTAAGCATTCCGCCTTCTAAAGATATTGTGATAAAAAAACTGAAATATGACGATAATTAAATATATCGGTAGACATTTAGGCGTCTCCTCAATATAGTGATACCTCCTGAAGGAAAGAATTGAGATAAACAATTGAAATATTGGGTATATACCGGTCATTAATTAGGCATAGCCCTCATATGATATCTCCAAATATTTACTATTTCCTACACTATGTAATCAATATTGGTCCCCCTTTAGACATACCCTTTGTAATCTAAATTACAGTAGTTTGAGGATTTTATAGTCTACCATGCGTTATCAGTATCAGTCCACTTTTTGGATCTGACAGATTTTAGGAAAAATCCCCATTAAAAATTGCTGAAGTTTGTATTTGGTGTACATAATGGTTTACATAAATCGGTTTGTAGAATTGTCGGTATATGACCACTTTTTGGTATGTTCCCTATATTTTCAGTATGTATCTGTCAGTATAACTATGGAGGGTATCCAAAGTTCGGCCCGGCCGAACTTAACGCTTTTTCACTTGTTTAAAGTTAAAAAATATAAAAGCTAAGCTATGACACTGTCTTAGGAATATTCTTTTAAATCCGCGCCAAAATATTTAAAAAATATTATTTTTTAAATCAACGCCTTAATAGCTACTGAAAAAATATTTTTTTTATCCGTGCTATTAAAAAATATTTTTTTTAAATCAACGCATTGGTAGATACTCAATTTTTTTTTTTAAATAAAAAAAATATTTTTAAATTATCCAGGTCTTGACAGATACTAAAAAAATATTTTTTTACTCTAAAAATGTTTTTTTTAAAAATCCTCGCCGTGATACGTACTAAAAAAATTGCACAAATTCCGCCAAAAATTCTAAGTCCACTTCTTGATAGTTGTTCAAAAAAACAGTTTTTGTTTAATATTCAGGCTTTGATCCTTGAAAAAATTTTTTTATGCTCGACATGATATTTGTTTAAAACACTGTGCACAAAATATATTTAAATTTAAAATATTTGAAAAATCCACGCCTGTAGTCTCCAAAAAAAAATATTCTTTGAAAAATTCACGCCCATAGTCTCCAAAAAAATATTCTTTGAAAAATCTACGCCTATAGTCTCCAAAAAAAATTCTTTGAAAAATCCACGCCTATAGTCTCCAAAAAATATTCTTTGAAAAATCTAACCCTATAGTCTCCAAAAAAATATTCTTTGAAAAATTGACCCCTTGATAGCTACTCAAAAAACATTCACAAGCACGCCTATATTCTTTGAAAAATCCACGCCTATAGTCTCCAAAAAATATCCTTTGAAAAATCCACGCTTATAGTCTCCAAAAAATATTCTTTGAAAAATCCACGCCTATAGTCTCCAAAAAATATCCTTTGAAACATCCACGCTTATAGTCTCCAAAAAATATTCTTTGAAAAATCCACGCCTATAGTCTCCAAAAAATATCCTTTGAAAAATCCACGCCTATAGTCTCCAAAAAATATTTTTTGAAAAATCCACGCCTATAGTCTCCAAAAAAATATTCTTTGAAAAATCCACGTCTATAGTCTCCAAAAAAATATTCTTTGAAAATCCACGCCGATAGTCTCCAAAAAATATTCTTTGAAAATCCATGCCTGTACTCTCCAAAAAAATATTCTTTGAAAAATCCACGCCTATAGTCTCCAAAAAATATTCTTTGAAAAATCCACGCCTATAGTCTCCAAAAAAATATTCTTTGAAAAATTCACGCCTATAGTATCCAAAAAAATATTCTTGAAAAATCCACGCCTATAGTATCCATAAAAAATATTCTTTGAAAAATCCAAGCCTTGATAGCTACTCGAAGAAAACACGATTCTTTAAAAAATGTATTTTTTTTAATCCTCTGATTCGTTCCGTACGACAATTTTATATTTAACATATAGATATATATTTTTTCTACATAAAAATATTGACTCATTATATCTATTTTGTATAGCATAATTATATCAAACGGTACAACAAATTGTTGTTCCCCTTTCCAGTGCCTTGATCCATGGGGGTCTTTACATATCAAATATTATCTAAAGTTTGTCAAATGTTTATAAACGTTTACTCACGTGTCAGATAAAATGATGACTCAAATAAACGTTTAACTACTGTAAAAGTTTATAAACGTACACAGTGTTTTGGAATCTGGCTACGTTGTTGTAACGCAAAAAGTGAGCGAAAGAGATACATCAAACAAATCGAATCGTAATTCAGTATAAAAGCGACAAATGGAAATGAAACATCATCAGTTCTTTGTAAACAGTGGGTGTGTGAGAATCTAAGAGATAAGAAAATTAAGTGAGAATGTGTTCTATCGAAAATCCAATTTCCATGGAGGGTGAAGCGGACAATAGTCAAAATTTGCTAATAAAATGGCACAAGGCAATGAAAACGGCAAATGAAGCTCAAATTCTTTTACAGGAAGTTGTGTCAGAAATGAGTGGCCATTTAAGCACAGACTGCCAATGTAGAAAGGATCATAAGAAGCATAATATTGGTAAAAATAAAAACATTAATTACAAATACAAAATAAATGAAAGTGATAGTAGTGCAACTAGTTCAAGTTCTTGTGATAGTGAAATTGAAATTATATCCTGTCACAGGACAGCTCTAGGCGAACATAAACGACGACAACATTTCAGTGGCCATCATGGACGGCGAAATCGTTCTCATTCTCGTGGCCATGATCGTAAACGTGATCGCAGTCGTTCCCGGGGACGATCACGTGGTCACTCTAGAGGACATTCTAGGGGACGATCACGTGGCCATTCTAGAGGCCACTCCATAGGACGTTCTCGTGGATATTCAGCTACACGAGATTTTCCCAGTAGAAAATCCAGTCATTCCTGCACACATTCAATCGAAAATAGACTGCCAATGGCACTGACAATATAAAAAATTCGTAGAGTCCTAAAATAATAAAATCTCAAAAAAAAAAACAAAAATAAAGTTTTAAAATTAATAATAAAAAATAAAAATATTCAACAATAAAAAATATAGCTGTTTTATTTTAAGTACACAGTGGTTATGAGCTAAATTCCAATCGGAATTAGTGAATTGGTGCTGTTAGCAAATTTAACAGCAGTGTGAAATTCGTAACCACAAAAAAGTAGGATAATTCTAAAACATGATGAAGGATGATGATTTTTAAAAAAATCCACGCCTTGATACTCATTTTTTTTCTTTTCACGCCTTAATACTCAACCAGTAAGGAAAGTAGTAAAGTCGGACTGGGCCGACTATATGATACCCTTCACCACTTTGGGTATATTATACATA